CATAATTCCCAAAGCTCTTAAAACATATAAAGATCAGAGCTTATAATCTCAACTTTCAAAATCATATAAAGAAATACCATCAACCAGAGCTCTTGGTTATTAACTAAAGCTTTTTAAAATAAAAACTATTTTTGAACTCAAAAGAAGATAGATTTAATGATAATCAAAGACCCTCTGGGCTCTTTATCAAATCTTTACTCTTTTGAACAGTTGAAATCTAATATCCGATATCAAAAACATTCGCTTATTTGAAACACGGGCAATTAATGCCTCTGACTATAAGTCATCTAACCAGCTAGATGTGACCTTAGGATCAAGCCCTTGACATCAGCTTCAGTTTCGTCATTGCAAGTGATCATTTAGTTAGCTCGCCTGCCTTTCCCCTCTATAGGACCCCTCTCTTTCAGTGTACATAGGCCTATGGCATTGTCAAAGCCAAATTTAGCCAAAAAAGCATCATCATGCTTATTTTTTTTCCCATATAAAATACCAATACACATATAAGCACTACATATCATTTTTATATATCCTTTAAACGAAATGAAGGCCCCAAAACGAAGCCTTATTCTAGTGATCATTCTAAACAACGTATGAACTCATCTTTTCATAAAATTAATGGCTCTTGTATAAGGAACAATAGTGTGAGGGTTTTCTCTAACTAAACCATGATCATAACCTGAATTTCGGAATTATACTCCCTCTTAACTTTGTCTGTTTATTTTAAACATGTTTACTTATATAATGCTCCATTCAGTCCTCAAACTTCCTTTATTACCTACTTTAACCCTTGAACTTATTCTTTTCTTGACAACTATAGTCCCTTGTTGTGATCTTTTCTACAAAGTAAACCAAAGTTTGGAGCGTTACATCGTGTAATAGATAATGAAAAATATCATTTATCCATATCCTATTATTATAATATTGGATAAAAGAGTCATAGATAAGAGAATAAATAACAAGTAACGGTTGTCGGCCTTAGAAAACAGACAAGGGATAATATAAAAACATATGTGACATGTTATCTCTCAGAATTGGTACACAGAAATTCGTAACAGCAACTATTAGAATCAATACAATCAAATAACAAATTTGCAGAAAATTTCGAACTCTCTCTCTCTAGATATGTGTGTGTGTGTAATTCGTATATATAAGTATATGTATACAGAATCGAATTAAGAATCAAATCATTAACTCAATTTTTACAACAAACTTAATGAAGACCGATATATGGATTGAGGCCTGCTATCTGCAATGTCCTTAGACATAAATTCATCCCTCGTACTGTAATTAGACATCTGACTACATAATTTAACAATCCATTCAAGTTGTAAAACCTGAACTTGACGAATCAAATGAATGCTTTCAAGATGAATTGAAATGATTAAGAACAAGAACCCAAAAGTGTTATGTTTTTCTCTACCAAAAATCGAGAGCATATGAGGTATTTATACGTTTTCCTTATCAACCGAAAGTAACCAATAAAATAAGTAAATGTCAGACAGTGAGTTGCTCGACTGGGCCCGCAGCACAAAGTCGCTTCAGAAACTGCGAGAGTTGAGACAGTAAGTTACACGGGTATTCCAGCGGCTTAGGCCTTGTGGGATCCCTCACAAGCCTCTGTTCCCGAATTCCAATTCAACAGAGTTACTCGTTGTGGCTTATGCCACGTGGGAGGCAATACATCTTTCTGTTTTCCACCTTTAACCATCCATATCCTTATCATGTCAAGAGACCCTAAGAGCCCTAAAGCCCGAAGCCGTCTTGACTTTTAATATTTGCTAAGTCCAACTTGTTAGTTATGCAACTTGATAGGAGAAATGGGTTAGGCAATACAACGCACAAATAATTTAGGATTTGGTCTATGTAGGATAAACCAACTACCCAAAAATACCCTGCATTTTCAATTCAAACCCTAGCAATACCCCACATTTGAATAGACAATAATAGAATTTCAAGTACATATTGTTCTATTACAAGAAACTAAACATGGCATCCATCAGAAAAGGTGTCTAAGGTACTTGAACATTTCATAGTGGGTATTCATCGGACGTAATCTATGTAGTGACGGGTAGTCTTGAACTAACCATGTTATGTAGTAAGTCTAGACAATGGATATGACACATCATATTTATGCATAATTCGATTCCTACCGTTGTGTTCATTTTGATCGTGAACAATTCCTTCTCCATGGGACTTTTAGAAGACGTACCCATATTTGTCCTCAAAGATGCAACCCACATCAATCTCATTTAGATAATGCAAACCAAGAACATTCAATCTTGTTCCACTGTAGAAGCTATTAGCATTATTAAGAATATATAGTCAACCCTAAAACATCAACAGAAAAATACACTATAAAACATCATAGGAATAGGCATACCTATGTACAATTATTTCTTCAGTCTTCCTCAACTTGTTTTCCTATTGAACCTAGACCATTGGATCTCTAATGTTGCTAGGTTAGGTTTCTGTTGAGTAGTAACTCATTGCGTTAGCTTTAAGCCCATCCCCCTCGATGTTGTATGAAAATTGCTCTCTATTAAAGCTTTTGTCAAAGGATCTGCAATGTTCTCCTTTGACTTTACGTAGCTAATGGATATGATTTCATTATTTAGCAAGTTTCCAATTATCTTGTGGCGAAACCTGATGTGTTTGGATTTGCAGTTATAGATTTGAGTTTTTGCTCTCATAAGAGCAACCATGTTATCACAATGTATGGAAACGACAGTAACAGGCTTTGGCCATAGAGGAATACCCTCTAGGAAACTCTTGATCCATTCTACTTCTTCAGTAGCTTTATCCAAGGCTACAGCTTATATGCTTCCATAGTCGACTGTGTATTGACAGTTTGCTTCGATGATTTCGAAGATATGGTTGCATTACCGATACACTATCTCCTTGATTCTTTTTGAGTAGGCTAGAAGGATCACATGGAGTGACTATCGATCTATCATCATAGTGACCAAACTTTCGTAGTACTCTCTCAACGTAGTGAGATTGAGTAAGTATGAAACCATTAGGATCTCTTTGAATATTTATTCCAAGAATCACATTTCATTTATGTGAAAAGTCATTTGATAAGTTGTTTAATATGTGTTAAGCCCAACTTGTTAATTAGGAAATTTGATAGGAGAAATGGGTTAACAAAAATAAGGCATAAATAAGTCGAGGTTTTGGTCTATGTGGGACAAACCAAATACCCAACATGACAAGTGTTCTGATACGTACATAGGTTGGAATCCAATAAAAACTGAGAGTTTCATGGGAGCTTTAGGAACTCACATGCACAACAGACCACTTTTTAGGTTGATCGTGTGCATTTTTAGAAAGGAAGGGAACTTCGATCTTTTGGTTTTTCACATCTGGATAAATTAGGGATCGATTTTGTGAACGTATATTAACGTTTTCTTGATAATGCATGTTAAGATAAAATAACTTACGTCAACATTTCCATCTTAACTAATAAATAATTTACGATTGATATTAATATTAATATTAATATTAAAAATAATTAGTAGTTTTTTTTTTATTAACTTGGATATCCAACCCGCTATGCGAGCCAACTAATCCCAAAGCGACCACCTGTTTTGCAGATAGCCTGGAGTCACCGCATTTGAACCTACGTAGACAAAAGAGGATTTTTATTCCTCATTGGGTTTTAACATGAGACCTCCTGGTAACTTTGACATTTAAAATCAAACTCAAACCAATCAGGCACCATTCTTGTGGTTAATAATTAGTAGTTTTCATGTTAACATGGGTATGAATAACTAGTATTAATTCATAGTTAATTATATTTAATATTTTATTAATTATTAGTAGTAATAAGTGATCATTAATATCAATCAAGGTATAATTAGAAGAAAGATGAAAAGATTGGCTAGAATTTACAGAAATGTTACTTTAAGTAGCGTTTTAATAAATTAACTTACGTCCATTCAACAAGACTTTTTCAAGCATAAAAAATAAACTAAAGGCTGTTTGATAATTGTTGAATGGTTTGGTGCAGAATAATTAAGTGGTCAGAATGATTAAGAGGCTATCATGATATATTGCAAAATGAAATATAATTGTTTGGTAATTGTGTACAATGAAATTAGGGCTCTTAATGGTTAAGGGAGATCCATAATAGGGGTAAGCAGCGGAACCGGGTACCCAGCTATAGAACCGGAACCGTCTTGGAACCGCCGGTTCCAGAACCGGAATCGATATGAGTGGTTCCGGTTCCGGTTCCTAAAATACGGAACCGATTGAGAATGGTTCCGGTTCCGGTTCTCAATTTTTCGGAACCGTTACCCGCCGGATACCCGGTATTTTTCAATAAAAAAAATAATTATTTTTTAATACCAAATTTATATTAGGTTTACATCTTAAAAGCACGTCGTCATCTTCAATCTTCATCTAAATTCTTCATATAAAATTATTCGTATTTTTTCAAATTGTGTGTTCATTTGGATTCATAGTATGTAATCGTTAAACTTTGAACATTTTCTATTAGTCTATTATGGTTTGTAATCGTTAATCAATATTTGTAACCATTATTCTGTATAATTTGCATTCTTGCTTATTTATTTAATGTTTTGGCAATGTTTTATTTTTTATTTCTAAATAACAAATTTTTAATATTTTAGGAAGCGGGTACCCGGAACCGGAACCGGTTYCCGGCGGTTCCGGTTCCGGTTCCAAAAATTTAAGAACCGCTCTAACCGGTTCCGGTTCCAATATCTCAAGAACCGCCGGTTCCGGTTCCGGTTCCTATCAAAAAGGGCGGGTACCCGCCTATGCTCACCCCTAATCCATAATACAAAATCATTCAGATGGTTTTAGAACCATTAAGAAGCAGACTTTTTTTTTTTTTGCCAAACAAGATTCACTCTTAACGATTCAGATGTTGCCTCTTAATGAAACTATTTAGAGATAAACAAACAACGCTTAACTTATGGTTGTCGGGCTAAAGAGTTGGATGTGGATGAAATTCCTAACAACAATGTACAACTTTTGATGCACAATTTACAACTCTTCAATCCATCATTAGCTTTGTCAAATATTTGACACCCCAAAAATTACACCAAGAGTTCTCGACTTCGAATAAATTCGTTCGCAAATTCATTAAAAAAAACAGACGATTTCTATTTACAGTGTTGCTTACCAGAATTCCTCGGGGGCTCGTTATACCACTTGGATTGATTACGAGTAGCGTTTTGAGCCCCTTCAGGTTGTTTCTTTTTACGCCTACTTTGTTGCGACATACGAGCATGGTAAGATAAAATGGCGAAGTCGTTTAGATCCTGTAACGGGCTCAGGGCCTTAATGACTTCGTCCATACTGGGTCGGGCCTTTGAGTCCCGACTCAGACAACTGTATGCTATTTGAGAAACCTTTTGGACTCCTTTCACGGAGTAGTTTAGCTCCAAACGAGGGTCGACTAATTGGTATACTTTTCGCTTGTCGGCTAGATATGGGCGGGCCCACATAACAAGGTTTTGCTCTCCGCTCGGACGTTTCTTGTCCATTGATCTCCGACCCGTCAATATCTCAAGAAGTACGACTCCAAAGCTGTAAACATCGCTTTTAGATGTCAAGTGCCCTATAAAATTTCAAACCGACCCTTGTTAGTTTTAATGCGTTGTTAGTTGTATAGTATCAATACTAGTTGTGTATCCATTCGATACAGTGGAGATGCAAATTTTTACTGTAAATTGAGAATGGAAAATTAATAAGTTTAGGCGCTTTAAAAACTTTAGTTGTGTGTCCAATGCGACATTTTAGGCGTTTTAATAAGTTTTTTTGGGACACTTTTAAAATAAAGTGTCATATTGGTTATTTTATGTGACGCTTTTGAGAAGTGTCAATGTTTTTATAGGACATTTGTTTAAATAATATCGTATAAAATAGCTGATACAACACTTTATTTTAAAAGCGTCTTAAAAAAGTTGTTAAAACGCCTAAAAGCGTTCTATAAATCTATTGTAACATTTTTAGATGGGATGTTTTTTCACTTGGTCCTATAAACTTAAGTCCTACAAAGTATTTTATTAGGATGCTGACACTTTAAGCGTCCTATAAAACCAATTTTTATGCATGATCAATGGTACCTGTCATCACGTATTCTGGAGCGGCATAGCCGTAAGTTCCGACAACCCTAGTCGAAACGTGAGTTTTATCTCCTTGTGGTCCCGCTTTTGCTAAACCGAAATCCGAAAGCTTCGCGTTATATTCCTTACGAATTAAAAAGACAAAAATATACATTGTCGTCAAGATCATATAACACGGATTCAATAAAAGAAAGATACAATAAATTAAATCCGCTTACGGTATCAAGCAAGATATTCGACGTCTTGAAATCCCGATAAATAATGGGCTCGGTCCCTCCATGGAGAAAGGCTAACCCTTTGGCTGCACCCGTCGCTATTTTGATCCGGTTAGACCACGGGAGAGGTATGGTTCCTTCAAGAGATTTAGCCACGGATGCTATAAGTAACAAGCATTTCGACTTTTTTAAGTATATAATATTTAAAGTAAACTACGTTTTCCGTTCATATGGTTGGTTAAAAATTGCAACTTTCTTTCCTATGCTTTTGAAATTACAGTTTTCACCCCTGCGGATTGTAATTCATTGTTATTTTCGTCCTTGAAACTATGTCAATGGTTTATATTAAGTATGAGTGACAAAAACAACAATGAATTGAAACTCATAGGGACGAAAACCGTAATTTCCATTCATAAAAACAAAAATAGTAATTTTCAACAAACCATAGGGACAAAAAATGTAGTTTACTCTAATATTTATACACAATAATACTCACATATTTGGTGAGGTTTGTATTCTTGACAACTCTGCTGATGACCCTGATACTGCCGAACCAATGACCATTTGGTAACGTTTTGACTTTTATGGTCAAACATACGGTTTTCTAACACTAGAAACGCACGAGAATTCTTCTAATTCTAACGGAAAATTAAATCTTGATTTTTACGTTGGAGAAACTTACTTCTGAAGAGATGGTTTTCAAGGCTTCCACGAGTCATGAACTCGTAAACGAGCAGTCGCTGATCGTCTTCGATGCAATATCCGATCAACTTCACAAGGTTTGGATGATGAAGTTGTCCAAGAAAATCGACTTCAGCCTGCACGAAAAAGACCGTATGTTTATCAATGCATCAATGTTTTGTACAGTACAACCCATCAATGCATGTTTGAGTCGCACTATTGGTCTTTGTGCATTAATGAGTTGTACAACGTAACACGACAATCCAAAAATGATTGCTACATCGAGCAGTTTCCACGTTGCCTTTTTATGCAATTTGCCTTCAAACTTCTTGCTAAGATGCATTAATGAAGTTTTATATACTAACCACCCATTCTCGATGGCCTTGAAGACCATCTGGCTTCAAACTCTTGACCGCGACGGTGAGGCCGGACCCAGGTTTAGCCGGGGCTGTGCCATTTTCCTCGATCCACCCTTTAAACACGAACCCGAATCCCCCTTCGCCCAAAATGCTATCGGGTCTGAAATTCCCGGTAGCCGATTTCAATTCGTGGAAACTAAACTGAAGAAGTTGGCATGGCTTCTTATCGGATTGAGCCAACTCTTGATTCGGGTTCGGATCCGAAGAGTTTTGAGGCTCGTGAGGAGCACACATCTCCCGGTTGCTAGCATTCAAGTAACGGGTTTCTGTTGCTGAACAAAAATAAATCTATCGTCAATATAAAATTTCATAACCATATTAATTTGCCAAATTTCGGAGGCATAAATTAAGTGGGACCGATATCGAATACTTATTTATTTTCAGATTCATATAAAATCTATAAAATTACGAATATGAAACGATCAAGAATGAATCAATACGGTCTCAAAAAATTACAACGATCTAATTTCATTTAATCGCCATTGCACCCAAAAAAAAAAAAAACTTCATTTTTCAAAGGATATTTTAGTCATTTCACTTTTTTTTAGTAAATTACGAATCAATAATTTCGAGATAAGAACAAATATAGAGACAAAAAACATATAACAAAGAAGTGTTGTTTTTTTAACAGAGAAACCCTCAATGATCATAAATTGGTATTACGGGTCTTACAAAAAAAATCTGAATTTTACATGATCTCAAGTCTCTATATATATATATATATATATATATGATGATATGATATACCTGCATCATAAACAAGACTGGTTCTGGGGAACGAAGCTGCAGAGTTTCTTCTTGAATCAACTGAGGGTTTACAAGAACCACTGCTAACACTGCGCCTTAGAACTGACCAACACCCACACTTCTTCTCCATTCTCTCACTAAATAATCGATCTCTTTAATCCTTTTTCATGTGGGTGTTTATCAATTCAAGAAATCTTGAAATGATATGAAGAACAAGAAGAAGAAGAGAGATTCTCTTAATTAATCTCCATGGCCTCTCCCTCTCTCTCTTTGTGTGTTTGGTTTTCTCTCCCTAATCTTTAGTGTTTCTTCATTTGGGTGTTCATCATTCAAGAAATCTTGAAATGATATGAACAAAAAGAGGGATTTTGTTAACCATGGTCACCCTCTCTCTCTCTCTCTCTCTAAAATGGGTGTCTTGAGTGTTTCTTCATGTGGGTGTTTTTGATTCAAGAAATCTTGAAATGAAAGAGAATGGAGGGATGATTCTTTTTAACCTGCTAATCTTTGATGTGAGAGAGATCTTAGAGAGAGAGTTGTATGTTTGTTGTTGGTGTAAAAGATTGTAGAGAAGCATCAATGATGACCATCATCACCACCATCAACATTGTGTACAAAAAGAACTTTTTTGCCCACCACTTTTTCCTCTCTCTCTCTCTCTCATTACCAAAAAGGAGGCAGTGAAATGGGACAGTTTTTGGGTGATTTTAAAGGAACCATTTTAAATCTTTTTTGTTAATTATTCATCATTGTGAAAATCAAAAAATAAAATATTAAAATTGGTAGAGAAATGGGACAGTTTTTGGCTGATTCTAAAACAAGATTAAGGGTTCATTTGTTTATCTCTTAATAATTTTATTAAGAAGCATTATTTGAATTGTTAAGAGGTGAATCTTGTTTGGTAAAAAAAAAATCTGTCTCTTAATGGTTTTAAAACCTTCTGAATGATTTTGTATCATGGACCTCTCTTAACCATTCAGCGCCCTAATTCCATTATAAATAGTTACGGAACAATTATATTTTATTTTACACTATATCATGAGAGCATCTTAATCATTCCGACCACTTAATCATTCTGCAATAAACCATTCAGCAACTGCCAAACAGTCTCTAAGAGGTTGTTTGTTTACCTCTTAACAGTTCTATTAAGAGACAACCTCTGTATCATTAAGAGGTGAATCTTGTTTGCCTAAAAAAAAAGTCTATCTCTTAATGGTTGTAAAACCCTTTGAATGGTTTTGTATCATGGGTCTACCTTAATCATTAAGCGCCCTAATTTCATTGTAAACAATTACCAAACAATTATACTTCATTTTTCATTATATCATGAGAGCCTCTTGATCATTCTGACTACTTAATCATTCTATACAAATCATTCAGTAACTGTCAAACAACCCCTAATTCCCCTTCTTATTAAATTATTCATCATTGTTACAACATTTACATCAATATTCCTCTCCCTCCCAGTAAAATTACTAAAATGGGGCAGTGATTATGTATGGGATGGTTGTAATACTTCATTGCATCTATGAAGGGTATATTTGGAAAAGAAAAGGTGTAATACTTTTACTTCAAGTTACACAATTCCAATCAAAATTGTACAAGATGAATAATTCCCTTTGGATCATTTATTGTACATTCTTGTTTCCTTTTTTTAATATTATTGTATTGTCTTACAAAAACGATCTGTTTTAATCAAAATTCTTGAACAAAACTTGTATATTTAACCCATAATCAGGTAAGATTACAAAAACATCTACAATTAAATGTTCTTATAATTAAAACCTGTAGTTTTTACAAGTCACTATTATTACTGAGAGTTTTTATAAATCAATAGCATGTTTTTAGTTCTTATATAAAAACCTTGATTTGTACCTTAATTAGTGTGTTAAAAATTACTCTATCTATACTATAATATAAAACATTTTAAAAAAACTCTTAAAAACCATTTTTTATGCATGAAGTACTATTTATTGATGCATATTACTTAAAATTTAAAATTACAAGTAAATTGTGCATAAGTAAAACTTATTAAAGCTCTATGTTTGAATTCTTGTAACTAACTACGGATAAACATATAATCAAATAGAGGATAAACATATCATTTTAAAATATAAAAAATCTAAAATATAATTAAGATAATTATTAAGTTCTAACAGAATACTTAATTCTTATCGTTATAAAAATATATTATTAAACCTAAATTAAGTTACTTCGTTATGTTAAATTAAATTATAATAAAAAGTTTGAATTAAAAAATACACAAAAAAAACTTTTAAATAGTTAATTTGATTCTAATATTGATATATTTTTTGCAAATTTTATATGATATTTTCAAAGTTATATTTTATTCAAAAATAAAAGCATTATCGTTTTCTCAAAACCACATAAAATCGTATTATATCGACATAGATAAAAAATAAAATGAAACATTGAAATCGAAATGTGTCTTGATGCATTTTAATTAGTATGTTAAAATTTTTCTATTATATATATATATATATATATATATATATTATTTGTCATATTAAAAAAATACAGTATCCACAAAAATGAGCTTTTGTAAAATCATCTCCAACGTATATACAAAATTGAGATTTTAGGCAAAAAAATTTCCTCCAACAAATCCTCCAAAAATTTTATGAGAAATGTGAATTTCTCGAAATTTGAAAATTCCCCAAAAATACCTTAGAGAAATTTTTTTTGTTATATTTTCAACGGTAATAAACTTTAACCATAAATGTTGATAAGAGATTAATAATATTTTATTACATGTATAAAATATTTTAAACAATATAATTAATGTTGTGATCTTCAAATTAGAGAATCTGTTAGAGTTGAATACTCTTTTTTATAGAGATTTTGAAATTTGATTCTTTATTTTAAAAAATTATTAAAAAAATCTTTTATTTTATTGATTTGACAACGATATAACTACGAATAAACGATGATCGATTAATTCAACTCAAAACCCAATAAAGACCACACCATTTACGGTAGAAGGTTAACAAAATAACGTTGGTCCCAATTGCCAATAAGATCGGACCCAGAGTCATAATTTCATGTTTTTCGGTTTTTAGGATTTTTGTATTTAAATATGCGTTTTAAATATTTTAATTTGTAAAGAAAATTAAATAGTTCAATATAAACATGATTATCATCTTTTATAAATTTTTAATATTTAATCTTTTGAGTAAATTATGGATTTGGTCCTTGTGGTTTTCCACTTTTTTGGGTTGGTCCCCGAAATTGGTATATTCCAAACTAGCCTTCAGAGTTTGTATTTTTGTAATATATTGGTTCCTGAGACTAACGGTGGTTAACGAGCATCTGTTAAGCATTATACTTACATGCATAGACGAAGAATTTTGTTTACAGATTTGGTCTGTCTTTTTTTCTTTGAAAATTAATATACTCTATTAGTTATATAATATAATAAATGATATAATTACACACACACACATACACACACATACACATACACACACACACATAGAGTAAGAATCGTGTGAGATTAGGATTTAAGGTGAAAATGTAATAAGGGATTTGGACTCTTGATCACTTTTAATCTCAAAACAATCAATGAATTGCGCTTTATAAGGGAATTGATCTAGTGGTTCTATTCAATTAGGATTGATCCAAGGATATAGATTTTTCCTTATCCTTCTCATCTTAACTTTCATTCTTATCGAAACTCAACCCTACACACATACACACACACAAATAATGAATTCAACCTTCCCCCCTCCCAACTCCACCCTCTCTGGTTACCTCCTTTTTCCAATCTCCAACCCTGAAATCCACCTGAAACACATAGGTCACAAAGACCTCCCAACAATTCCCGGCCCTTCCTTGAATTTTTTTTCCCATCGAAGACCCTTATCCAACATCTTAAAAAAACATTGAACATCCCTTCCCACTTTTTTCAGAAGAACCCCCATCCCTTCCTTTTTTTCAAGCAAAACCCTTTTTGTCTTCCTTACTTGGTGAACCTTTGGCCCTACTCCTTATCTCTTCTCCTTCGCCCACCAAATGCGGTTGAATCTCAATTGAAAACCCATCACGACCATTGCCTCTTCCTACCCTTGCCCTAACAGTCGTTATACCCCTTTCCCTCTATATATCTGATGATGAACAATCCTTGTATTTGAAGATAACGTGTTTGATGAACAAAATGAAAACCTAGAAATCCATATTAGAAACGGGTAAAAGCCAAAATCAAAACCCAAAATGACCACCCCATACAGCTAGAATCAAATGAGGAATTACAATTTGGTGCATCTTGATTTGGTTATCTTTGTTTAACATGGGGATTCAGGTTTTTTATTTTCAGTTTTGATGATTAAGGTTAAGATTTGGGTTTGATTTTGATTTTTATGAGGGTTTATTTAGGTTTGATTTTGATTTAAAGTTTAGGTTTGTTTTTTTTTATTTTTTGGTGTATGTTTATTATCGTGTGTGGTGGCCGGAGATGAAATAAAGGTCGAAAAAATGATCACAAAAAGGATTTTTCCGGGGAAGATGACGGGAGAAAGGATTTGGTTGAAGAAGATGAAAAGGAACGGTGAAGATCTTGTTTTTTGGGGAAGAAGGTGAAAGTAGGGGTAATATATATATATATATATATATATATATATATATATATATATATATATATCTGATTTTATTAAATGTGAAAATAAGAAAAAGATTGGCAAATGACCAAAATGCCCCTAATTTAACGAGGCTTTTTAACTTGTGTTAGTCTCAGGGACCAATATGTTACAAAAACAGAAACTCCAGAGGCTATCTTGGAATAAATAAATTATGGGGACCAAATCCAAAAAAATTGGGAAAACCACCGAGACCAAATCTGTAATACTTTAATCTTTTAATTATTTCAAATTACTTTAATTTAATTTTTAATTATTACAATAGTTTTTTTTACTTTTTCAATTTGTCACATATCACTCTAGATTTAATTTCTAATTTTTTTCTTTTAATTTTAAATTAAATAGATATAAAAAAATTGAAAGTAAAAGTTTATAATAAAAAAAAATTACTACCGTAAATATGTCTTTTCGATCTTTTTCTTTTATCATTATAACATATTAGAATCACAATCGATCAGGTTTAGTATCGAATTGCTTAAAATTTGTTGTTCCAGAGGTCGAACACACGAGGCCGAACACGATCTT